ACACAATTTGAGAGCAGTTCATTGTAGAACTGTTTTATCATGCTTGGATGCACATGATGTATTTTCTCTCAGAGGAAATAATTCACATGCTTGTCATAATAAACTCAGTGCAGCACCTCGCAACCACTAAAACCGGATTCGTGTTAATTTTGCATTTGTCACAACTTTGATTTCTTTCCTCTCGTTTTCCTTTTTCTCTTCATTGAGAAGAGGAAACTATTCACGATTAATTAACTCTGTGAGGGATTTAATAACACATGGTAATGTGACCTGACATCTTCAAATGTTTTGTTTGTTTGACCAAAACTCTAAAACCCAAAAATACTCAGTTTACTTGGGTAAGAAATTAAATTCAATTTAAATTTTTTAGCTTCAATATTTTCGTCGAATTAGATTTTATGTGGTTAGTAAGTTTTTTTCAATACTACACAGTATATATACTATAGCCACTGAAAATCACCCATGACCAATAATTATCAGTCAGTATTGTCTACATAAATAATCCATTATGGAAAAGCAATTTGACTATTTATCTCAGCGGGACAGCAAAGAAAGTGCTGCTCGCATTTAAACTCCTCCTAAATATCTTCAGCAGCTGCAAGATGTAAATCAAATGAAGTATGACCTCTTCCCTATAAGTCACGCTATATGGAAAAGTCTGCTTCATCCCCCACTTTTCAGCCCCTTGTATGACATTGAAAAATCTGTCTCTGATGCTGAATTTGTCCAGTATGGCATTCTTTTGCACGCACTTGGCAACGCAGCCGACACATGGACTTACTTTACTTTCATCTCGCCTCAGTCATTTGTCATTTTGATGGAGTGTCATCATAAAAGTGAAATCATAATTGTTTTTGCAGTCATATTTTTGAGGACATTAGATAACGAACAATTTGCACTACAACTGATTACGCTTGATCTCTAATGATGACTGAAGAGGTGGCATCTTTATATGAAAAGCTGATTTCAGAAGCTTGAATTATAAAGTTACATTTTTACCTGTTTTTGTGATAAATTTGCAGATTTTAGCACCTGCATTTTGTTGCATGTATGTGACCATACATTACTGTGCTTGAGCCATAATTGCCACAAAAAGAAAATCGAGCAAAGAAGTTGAATCTCTAATTTGTAGTTAATTTATGGGAAGAAATACATTTTCTAATCTCTGCCTCCTTTACATTTATTTGCAGATTAAAACAGGCTGAAGCATTTAAATAGTATCTGAGTATTTGTATCCATTATATTAAAATGCCAGACGTCTTTCTAAGTGTGAGACATGATTTGCATGTTTACCCCCAAAAATCATTTCAATATTCAAGACCACCAAAGGGTATCAACAGTGGGAAATTATGTTAATGCTATTCCATGAAATCATGTTTGCCATTGTATTGTAATGAAGCATCTAATAAACTAATGAACATGAAGTTGGCACTCAGGGCTGACGCAGTATCACGTTTAATTTGCATGACACTCAAAACAGGCGAAGAGGTAAAACTGTTGAGGTTGCTTCAAGCTGCCTAAGCTTGCAACATGTCCAAAAATGCCTTTGCATTCATTTTCTCACTTGAGAATTGGAAACGTAGGCACATAACATCCTGAATGTCACCTTTTTTTTTTTTTTTACCTAGGTTTTCGGTGTAGCACTTGATTTTCACCTGAAGAATCCTGCAGAGTTACATGCAGTTAAAAAGGAAGTGCAACTTTTCTCCCGACAGTCTTCCAGAACCCTCTTTCTCTCCTATCTGCATAAAGTGTTTATGCTGCAGGGGCACAGTCAATGAAAGGTTAAGCCTCCTGTGCAGTGGGTAAAAATAGACCAAACCAGACTTTACTGTGATGTCAAAGTAATGCGACTGAAGCTGAATTGATTTGATTCATTCAGAGGACAACCACCACGGTGACTTTCGTAAATGCAGCCCAATGATAAAAGTTAGTATAATGTAGCAGAACATCTGTAACGTCAGACAAAGAAGAGGTTGACGAGAAAAATGCAAATGAGTGCTCAGCAGCAGTGGTGGCCAAAGAGAAAGGGACATCTCGGGTGAGGAAATATGTTTTCATAAAATGTATCTCTCGTCCCCACAGTTGGTTTTTACCTCAGGAACTTGTGTTCAAAATTCAGCACATTCAACGTGACCTTATCCACAGAAACACATACATACATCAAAACTCTTCATGTGCAGGTGCATTTAGCAGCTGGCTTACAAATGAAAATCTTCTGGATACACTTTTTGTAACCTCTGCGAGCACAGTGTTCCCAGCAGGAGATCTAGAAACCAGTCAAATACATTGCTGAATTCAGAATGTTATGAGTCATTTTGCCGCTTAGAAAGATGAGTTATGGCTCCACTCTTCCATTACTTTTAGTTTTTTTTTTTTTTTAGCAAACAATTTTACAACTGCTAAAAAGAAGAAATGATCTGCCGTTGTTAACATTGTATTGTGAATGTTTGTGTGCAAGCCTCTGATGCTCTGGCGTGTCATCCATACAAATGGCCATCAGCCGCAGTTTTTTATCATGTTCCAAATCTTAAATCATTTGTCGCTGTTAGAAATGGGTACTAATGGCCTCTCTGGATTAACTCCATCACCACTGCACATTTGTCATGTTTATGTGCTGTGTTTGAAATGTTGAGGCCTGTCCCTACTTTAGTGGCTTCAGCCCTTCACAGTGAAAATGACTTTGTTATCAAATAAGGTTAAAACTAACATGAGGTTTACCAGAAGAAAAATGTTGTGAAATCTGGGAAATAATAAATTTACCTCTAATCTTTTTATCTCATCTGAGTCTTTTTCTTTTCTTTTCAGAACAAAAACACATTTTTCCAGCGTGCAATTGGTTTATTTGTAACATAAGAATCTTAATAATAAACTTAACGGTTTCAAGCTTTGGGATGTTGTTGCCATATCAGAGAGAGAGAGAGAGAGAGAGATAGAGAGAGAGAGGGGTTTTGCCTCAGTGTGCCACAAACACATTTACGACTACAGACTGATGCATACTTAAAAACATGAGCCGCACATGTAAATCCTAAAAAGCTTCAAATTAAGTGCAGTGCAGCTCTGTGATTAAAATAATAAGCTGATAAAACAATACAGTGTATCTGGAATGTCGAGCCATGGTTGCTCTCCCTTTGCCCTGACTTCAGAAGAACTACACTTTCAGCTGGTTCAGCTGTTTACAAGCCAAGGTGTGGGCGCTTTGGTGGGGACGAGAGGTTCTGCTGCGAACGCTCTGCAGCCTCTTGCCAAAGGAGAGAAAGTCTGCAGTGGACAAAACGTGCAAATCATATTTTAACATCTCTAATCAGACGTTAAACGTAGTTAAAAATGTAAGAAGTATCGTTAACACTAATGAAGTGTTATGAGTAACTTATTCAATGATACGTTGTTATTTAAAACTCATAATGTTAAATTTTACCGTGTGGAGGAGTGTATCATTCCATTTAATATCTCATTTTATTCATGTGTCTGACTTTTAAATAGTCACAGCGTTTATACTTGCAGAGAGTTGCTCTTGGGAGAGATGTATTGCTCCATCCATAGGGAAGCCATTAGATTTTCTCCACTGCAAAAGTATTATAATTCAAGCGTTAATCTTCTGAATGTGATAGAATTTCATTTCAGACTGATAATGGTTTCTGCAACACTGAGGGTTTGATTGAATGCAGAGGGATAAGTTAGAGGTTCTAGAAAGGTTGCAGAGCAGGAGACAGTATTATCGTTCTAGCAGGTCTCTACCATAAATTGTGTGAGGAGTTGCATACTGTGCATTTTTGTACACTTGGCTGTTAATATATCTTATTTTAGTGAATAGATGGCTGCTGGAGGAATTTAAGTTGTCGTTTTCTTAAAACTGTGCACATCACTGCCTGTTTTACAACAGTGTTTCATATTCTTAATACAAATGAACTCTCTTTCTGGTTTTGTGAGATGATAAACTTGTGACATGCGGGCCTGTTATCGCACAAGCTTTGATGTTTTATGGATTCTTACTGTCAGATTTTTTTGGATTAATGAGAGGTGATGTGGACATATATTTAGAATACTTCCTTATTCTGAAACACTGTAGTTTGTTTCTGCTTTGGCTGCTTGGTGCAGGAATAAAAATCTGTCCACTGGTGGTCTGGAATAATGGTGCTCGTACACAGTATTAGCCCCGGATTGCACAGGAGTGGGGTATGTAAGTGGATGATATGGTACAGCATTAATAGCTCCCATTCGTTCATTACCTGTGTGATTGCTATTGATTGCCAGAGGCTGCTTCAGGGGGTGTTGCAGCTGCAGAGTGCAAAGCTCTACATGCCAGCATGATACATCATGCCATCCAAAACATGCTTTATAGAAAACACTATGATCTGGCCGGCTGTGTGGGATCCCGGCGGCTTTATATGCAGATACAGATTATTGTGATTGATGGGAAGGATTTGGGTTGAAACCTTTCTTTTTCTCTTTCAATTGTTTTTCAAATGAAGGGATAAAAGGTTCGCTGGATGGAGAGGTGTAGTGGAATATATCAGAGGGAAGATAAATGCTGGCAGTTGAGGAGTGTTTGGTCAGCAGAATTTTTAAGTGTGTGTGTGCTTTGGATGTGACTGAGTTCCACAAGGCTGATTGAATTTCAGATTATGCTTACCTATCGGCATACATCTACATTTTGTCTTCATTTCACAAGTGAGAGGTTTGTTTTCTCAAGTTAACTGTGAAAGAAACGGTAAGGCAGTGCTCTTGCAGAGCAGCAGAGCACCACGGTTAACACTCATAGTTTTAAAATAATTCAAATTATTCCTCAGTATTTTATCCAATGTGATCTCTGCCGACTGATAAATGCACATCTCAGTTGCACTTAATAATGATAGTAGTAACTAGACTTGCAAGCAGGTATAACAGCATCCAAGCGCCTGACAAAATCTGCACCTCTTTTACAGAAAAGGAAGATATACAGTATAAGTACGTTTATGACTTAGCATGCTAACTTTCCCGTCCACCCGTGTGTTCTCCAGGAGGCTGTAGGGGAGAATGCAGGAGTCCACGGCCCCGGAGAAGACAGGAAGGAGAAGGTGCCCAGCCCCCATCTCAGTCAACTGGTGGTCCTCACTAACAGCGGGAGTCTTTATGGGCTGGCTCAGAGAGTGGTGGCTACAGAGTCTCTGTAAGTAATCTCTACATAACACTGCAGTAAAACCACAAACTGTTACTTTTGTGAACGTTATGTGAATATGAGCCATGCAATAATTTAAGCAATGATAAAGTTAGCATTTTAATTACACTTGAGGACAACACAAGGCAGCACTGGTCTTTACTCCCCCCAGTGTGAAGGAAAAGATTCTGTGCTTGTTTTATGTCGTGGCTTGTGTGTTCGGCCAGTCTGATATAAATTCAGCAAAGCTTTTTCTCTGATTAGATTAAAGAGGCTGGTTCTCGCTCACTGCCTCACCTCTAGGTGCTGATAATTTCATCCGAAAAATATTACACAGGCTGGCAATCAAAGATCTGCACTAACTGCAGCGTGTGTTCGTGTGTGATGTCGTTTTCAGCATTTACATCATGAAAGCTTGTTAAATAGAAAAGAAAAAAGGATTGTTGAAATAGAAGGAGAGGCGGAGAAACTTACTTTACCCTTAAACAATTCCTAGCTTTGTCCTTTTAATTTAGTATTTGTGTTTGACTCTCACAATCACTCTCACTGATTCATGTTCTCCCCCCCTGCCTCCCACTCTGTTTTGGTTCTGTAGTCATTCTCCTTTCTCTCCTTCATTGTCTGCTACATTCACACACTGCACAAAAGCATCCTCACACATAATTAGGTCAAACTATCATCAGTGCTGACAAAACTCTTGGATCCTGAGAGGCCTGTAGTGTACAACAGCTTTATAATGAAAGTCTGTAAACCAGGGGCCCAGACGACGACGCTGCAAAAATGCTGAACAGGCTTCCACTCTGTCATAAAAAGTTTTTCACGTATCTGAGGCAGGCAGCAGGCTCAGAAGAATAATGAAAGTAAAAGAGCTGAAGTGCAGAGGTGAAGATATTTCTTGGGTAAAGTTTGAAATGAAATTTTTTTTTTTTTTTTTTTTTTGCATGAGAATTTCTTTTCTGTCAGAGAAAGTATCACTACAAAAGGCAGATAACTTTAGTGTGAGAACCTTTGACATCTTCAGCAGGTGCCATTTAAACACCATCTTGAAAGAAAAAAAAAAAGAGCTCCTCACTGTTGTGTCCGAACCAATGAAGCGTCAGGGAGCCCTGAGCAAAAATCAAAGATAAGAGCTCAGCAGCCTTCTCGCTGTTGTTTGCCCTTCTAGCTGTTGTTCAGGTGTCGTATTTATACAAGCGTGATCAGATAAGTGTGAACTGCAGGGAGTGCTTTTTCTCTCCACACTGCGCCACGTCGCCGAGGTAAACACAAGCTGTTCCAGCTAACCTTAATGTGATTTTCTCTGCTCCATGAAAAGAACAACTGCGCACTGGGCTCATTTATGGGTCGCTGGCTGTGTTTAATGTACTGCTTTCGGATTTAGTGTTAACCAGACAGCACATTGATATTAATTCTTGCTTTTAATATAAAGATTTCTGTTGGGGTACCTAGTGTTCACTGCTGTGCAGCATCCATACAGATGCAGCATCATGGTAACCAAACTGAAATATCTAAATTACTGGATAAATCAGCCATGCCGTGATTAATTTGGAATTTACATACACCAAACCTAAGGCTCAGGATTCTGTATTTGCCAGTCTGAAAAGTGAAAAAAACACTCACTTAGTTTTTAAGTTCTCATGCATCTAAAATTTGTTATTTTCTTAACAGTGATCAGAATTATTTAGAGGAGTTTCCTTGCGATGAGAACGGTTCAGAAAATGTTTCCGGTCATAGAAAGTGAAAAGAGAAATGTGGAGAAAATAAGCAGCTGATCATGCACCAAATTATCTCAAGTAAATGAGTTAACTACAACTACTAGTCATATTTTTAAAATCTTCCCACATTTTAATATACAAAATACAAATACATTTTCTAAACTGAAATAAATTTGGATATTTGTAGCTAGCTCAAAGCCTAATGTTATCTGTGTATATGTCTGTCAATAAGTTGCAGCAGAAATGTAAAAGATATGTTTGTAGTAATTTAGAAAGAGTGTCATCATTACATTTGTCAAGCAGAGAGAACCTGCCTCCAGTGTAATGTTTGTTATTGTTATGTGTAAAAACACTGATATTGGTATTAGCATCAAAAGTGTTGTTTTTCATCAGCAGATAAGTGTTGTTGCCTTGTTGAGTTGTCTTCCTCTCTTAAAGTGCACTGTCCAGTCGGCCGCGCTGTATTTTGTTGACTGGGGACTGTAAGGAAATGGCTGATGTGAGCCGTGCTATACAGCAGCAGTCATGCTCGTTAAACTCAATCGTGAACTTCAGCCCACTCAGACCTGCTCCCTCCGTTTTTTATTTTGTGCACAGTAACACTTCAGAGCCATCGATCAGCCCGAGTCAAAAGGTTCTCATTTAGTCAGCTGGATTCACAGAGGAACGGGGTTACTGTGTCTGTCCACATTGATTTTTTTTTTGTCCTGTATTTTTTGCTTGGTCTCAGTATTGTTCAAGGATAATTGAAAACCATTCATTGTAAAAAACTGCAGCCTGATTTGTTGGACATAAATGATATTTTGCTTTGTGAGGTGAGACTTGAGGATTCTGAATAAAAGTGAGCGCAGAGCCACGGGATGTGTGACAACTCTGGAGTCTGTTCATCTTAATCATTTATTACATTAAACTGTAATGATCACAGGGGAGAAATTAGATTGCTGCAACTACAGAGAATGATGTAGCTGATTAAAACGGACAAGTAATTATGTTGAAAGAACATTTTTATGAAAAGCGCAACATTTGCAATTCACAGAAAAAACTCTGGGTGCAAGTGAGCATCAGTAAAAGTGACTTTGCCTTGTGTTTTCTTAACTTGTATCTGCCAAATCTAGTACTGTGGTGACAGACAAGAAAGGCTGAGCTTTAATATTAGAAGCTTCATGGGTTGAGGATTTAGTTTTAGCTTGTGCTGTTCTGTGATAATGATGAACATTTAAAATTATATTTTGTGAAGAAGCCCAACTGAAATCACTAATAGTCAATTGCTCCGATTCAGATCAAAATCAAAAGCAACATCAGGTCTTGGAAATAGATGTGTCGCTCTTGAGAGACATGAATGAGACATAGTAGTTGTCTTTTGTTAAGTTATGTACATTTTTCAGACCTTATTATGCCACCACTGTGAATTAAATGCCTGTTGTTTTTTTTTTTCAAAGTGTGTTTCTGGCTGAGCAGTTTGAGTCCCTCCAGTCGCACCTGGACACAATGATGCCTGCAGCCAAGAAGCCTTTCCTGCAACAGTTTTATTCCCAGGTATTGTAGACTTAATACACATTACACATTATCTCCAAAGTCATGTGTGTGAGTAATTACAGGAACTGTTAATCACTGTCAGCTATAGTTTGGATTCTACAGTCATTCTGCAGTAATTAAAATGATGAAATGAAAAGATGTGCTCCCTACAACAACATTCCAGATGCATTCACTCTTTGATTTGTAACCATCATTCAGCATTTTAGTTTTCTTTGGGAGCATATTTCTCCTCAGGGATATATGACTATGTAACTGCAACCCAGCTCTCAGTCCTGTTCTCCATCAACGGAGGAGAAAATTGTCGGTTACTCGTAACCACACATGCAGCTCGTTCCCAGTCTATTGAAAGGTTCAGGTGTACAGACAGGTCCTGCTTTCCCCAAACATCAAATGAATGTCATGTTCTATAATTTCACTCTTGGAAATGTTATTGCAGTTTTATATTGTGCAGTCGATGACGTCATGTTACCTGCGCAATATTTTCATCTCAGGAGAGACCTTGAGTTCACGTCTGCCTCTATAACACACATTTAATAGAACACACACATATATGTATTCTGCCTCTCTTGCTCTCAGACGGTGTCTACAGCCAGTGAACTGCGGAAACCAATATATTGGATTGTGGCAGCCAAGGCCATCGACTACGAACAAATGCTACTCTTGATGGCTGGAGTTAAATGGGACATTAGGGAGATAATGTCACAGCACAATGTGTACGTGGACGTCCTGTTAAAGGTAAAGTTTCATAAGAAATACGTAGGTGCCTGTTGATGTAATGTGTGATGTCATGTACTGCAGGTTAGTGGTTGATGAATAGGCACAAAAGCAGTGGATGGATACAAGATTTCGGGATCTTAAATGAATCAAATGGAATTAAATTAAGTGATTTTTAACTGACATTCATCCAATGAGGTGGTGAGAGTAAATCAAAACAAGTTGCAGGCCAGTTTACCAAAACAATGAGCTGAAAGGCGCTAAAACGCTCTTTAACAACATCTTTCATATTAAATGTCGTGATTTGATCCTTTGTTAATATAAAAATATTGATGAGTGCAGCTTCAAAGAGTCAAAACTTGCATGTGATTAAGTTTTCAAGGCCAGTGTTAATTAGTCACAGTGCTGCATGTTTAAAACTTATTTGTGCTGCATTAAGCATCAGTTCAAAGACATCGATGGAGACATCATTGCAACAGCTTTTTCTCGTGATTCGTGGAGATGATATGCAAACATCTCCCTATTAAGATTGTTGCATCATTTATGCCACTAAGACTCTTTGTCAGTTGAATATAAATGACGATACTGAGATGACTGGTATCCCTAATAAAATCCCTTTTTTCCTCCTCTAGTGCATTTTACATTTAGGAAGAGTTCATTCAGCCAAACAAATACTAACTGTCCACTTCATTCTCTCACTGTCAACAACAGCCACACTACCCAAAAACACACAAAAAGCAGCTGCAATAGATTTGCTTTTACCTTCGAGGGATTTTCCTCACAAATTGTTTTTCATGTCCTTGTGAAATATAATCTTGGTTAATATCTGGGTCATTTACATAAAGTATTAGTCTTCATTTCACTTCAAGTCACGAACTCTTTAGTTCCTTGTTGTTCCTCGTGAGCTTAAATTCATTTGAGGACCTTTACCATCAATTATTTGGTCAGGTTGAATAATTTAGTGGACGGGTGAGCTGCTGAGAGTTGAATGCATATCTCCCATGAAGTTTCAGCGTCGTTAAAGATATTTGAGCGCCCTGGTCCCTTAAGTATTTTTGGAATTGAAATAGTTTTCCTCTAAATGTGTGTCTTTATGCATGCTGGCTTCTTATCCCATTATAAATTTTGCATGGGGTGGAAGGACACACAGCCTTAGTTTTCTCGCCTCTGCCATTCAGAGACGGAAAGGTCTGAAGGGCTCGCTGTGGTGTGAAATCCTGAACAGACTGGCACCAAACCAAGACAAATCCCTATATATGCAAAAGCATGTCTCAGAAATCTGTTGATTAAATCACGCGTTAAAGCGCAGATGTTGTTGAAATCCCTGCAAAAATAAATTCATAAGCATAAACATAAATAAATATTCAGGCATCAGTTCACAGTTAACGTTATCTGCTTATAATAAGAGAAGTCAAACTCACCTTTTGAATTCCTGAATGGCTCTTAGATCCTCGTCTGGCTCCAGCAGCTCTGCAACTAAGCCTAACTAATTTAGCTTATGAGCTAAATTGCCTGAGGGGGGAATTTCTGACTCATTGGCCTGGTTTAAACGCTGTACCGTGTCAAAACGGCTGATGGACTGACATGGAGCATATAACAGAGAGCATGTACTTTTCCCCATCAAGTGCTAATAGCCTCCTCTGCCAACTTGTCAGATGCTTATGATACATATGGATTGTGCTATGTGCACTGATTGAGGAGTGTACTACATTTTGTTGTACTGCACACTGGAGAATATTTTATTCATGAATTTAGGTTGATCACTTGAATTCAACAATGGCATTGATTTGCATATAAAGTGGCGAGGAAATGCAGCAACCTCAGAATGACTTCAGTGACAAAATGCTCAAACTATTGTGAGACTGTGAATGAATAACATTTCAGTCTTGGGTGTAAAATTAATGGGAATGTATGCCCTAAAATTCCAGTTCATTTTCATCAAATATAATGCAGTTTGAATTAAAGTCATCAGGCATATATGTCCCGGAAAGTCACAAGCTTCACTTGGGACGTATCCATCACATTTCTAAATAGCTGCAATTTATTCCTGTCATACAGCAACATATCATACTTGTATGATTTCATCCATAATTAAACATTTCAGAGAGAGCAGTGAGTTAAAGGTCGCCACTAATACAGTATGTATGTATTACATGTGCCCAAAGTCTGAATGTGAACATACAGGTTGGACGCACGTCAAAAAGTTAACAAATGAGTCCAGTTGGGATGTTTCCCAAACCAGAGTACAGTATCCATCAGCGCACAAATGATTTGTTTTAACGCCTGATTTGTGGCTTGGTGGATTCGTACTGTATTTCTTTTAAGTATTTATAAAAAGAGATTGATACAAAGCCCTAATGCAGTTTATTCTTCACAGACTGTAAGTAATTGGATTGTGCAATTCACAGCATGAGGTGGTTTTATAACACCGCTCGCTTCTACAAGACTGGGGGAGCTGGTGTTGGGCTTCATCCAAGAACACAGAGTAGCTCAGAGCGAATCAGAGGAAAAGTGCTGTTGTTCATGAAGATTTTTATTTTGTTTATTTCTTCCAGTTGGGAACCAAAGATGTGTGGGTCCTATTCTGGCCTCCTTCTTGTTTAGACTTGTTTGTGGCTGTAGTTGTGTAGGGCTGTGTACATAAATACCATAAATATGGCTGTGTCTTTATAATACAAGTTTCATATATTTGTATCTTAATATCAGCAGCTTATCTGATTGTATTCTCCTACTTTTTCTAATGGTCAAGTAAACTCTTCAATGTGTTCAACGTTGTTCACCTGTGCTTTCTCCTCCAACTTTTTCAGGAGTTTGAGCAGTTTAACAAGCGGCTGGGTGACGTTTCCAGACATGTGCGCATCCCACTGCCTGTGTCCAACGTCCTGTGGGAGCACTGCATCCGTCTGGCCAACAGGACTCTTGTTGAGGGGTAAGAAAGTCATAAAACACCTCCTCGACGTCAGGGGGATATGTGAGACCTGGTGTCATTCGGGTGAAGTTGTGGCCTCTTGTTATTATTAAATCTTTTTTTTTGTGCATAATATTTTCCCCATCAATTTCTATATCAAACAGTGACTCAAATAATATATGTGACACAGATCTAGAGTTGCAAAACTTACAAAGTTGCCCATTTAGATAAAAATTGGAAATTGAAGTTAGCTTCAGTTAGGTTTTGCAATTCAATGCTTGACTACACGGAAAAGGCAATTCTCCGTATACACTGACTTTTCACACAGTTATGAGCAGCTTGTTATCAGAAGTCACATGGACTCACAAGCAGCACGAGTCTTATTGCAGGTCCTGTAACTTTGTACAGTTTTATACATTCCGAGTAAGAGCACTGCTGCTGTTTGCCGTTTGTTGATTCTGTCACGCTAAGCTTTCCCACACAAGTACCAGCCATCTCTTTATATCTATAAAAACATGTGCATAACGTAGGTTGACTCTGGCTGTTGTCATCTACCAGAAGAAAGGCTCAGAAGGTCAAATGTACTGTAAACATCCTTTCTATGAAGGCATTTATGGTGTGTTTCTGCCACATAACTGTGGTATTATGAGGAGACTATGTCTGTTGAGTAGCTGTTCCCACCTGATCAAATGCATTCACTCATAAATATACTTTTTAAAAATAGTCTGAATCTTTTAAAGCAATGAATACAACGATTTTTGATAGTTTGTCAGTACAATAAAATCCTCAGTCAGCTGTAAGGTTTTGTGTATTAAACATTAATTTAGGATATCTCTGCAGCTGTTCAAGTTGATACTGAATTATACTGCACTGAAAGAAGGAAAGACATGCCAACCATTTTATGAATTACTCTAAACAGTAATGTAAGTGAGCTAAATGAGGTGCAGACCTGTAGAGTGGTGGTTTTCTTTGTTAAAACCACGGGGACTGTGAAAATTTAAGCCTCTTGTCTTGTTACGAAAGGTTTCTTCACTTTCTGGGCACAATCATAAACAGTGTCCCTAAGCTTGTGTCATGTACAGATACCAAAAAAACACATGTGACTTATTACATCCTGGTTTTTTGAGGCCCCCCACACTATTGCGTCTTTACAGGGAAGCCCATAGAGGTAGTGACCCAGGAGAAAAGTAAAAAAAAAAAAAAAAAAAAAAAATTTCTTCTCTTTACATCTTTGTTCATTTTTTCTGTGTTTATCCCACAGTCTGAACATCTGCACATCATAAATTTAAAAAAAAAGAAAAATTCTTTCCAAAGCATGTCGTCAAGCACTGTGAAGAACAGGGGAAATTACCTACAATACGTAAGAAACCTGGAGACTCAGCTGCCAGGTTCCTTTGGAGTTATCGCTCAAGAAAACCACAATAAATTCCTGCTCTCCTCCTTATGCTGGCAACCCTCTGTGCCAGCCTCGACACATCCCTCATAATGCATTTCACTGCTTTCTCCCTTGTAAGCGAGAGATATGAGATGTAATAGGTGACAGAACGCCAGAGTCTGTGTGTGTGTGTGTGTGTGCGTGCGTGCGTGTGTGTTTGCACACGCGCACACACCCCCATTGTCTCTTTACTCAGAATCTGTGTGTTGAGTGTATGTGTGAAGTAGGTTTTTAGATTGAAGGTGTGACAAACTCCTCTGATCAGACGGACTGATCGCACAGCAACACTGAGTCAAATTGTCTGGATGGTGACGAAGCGAGAAGCTGACAGTTATCATGAGGTTACGCACATTTTATTGTTGGGAACAAGTAATTGGTTGATACTGACGCCAGAGTCATCACCAGGTTGCAGTGAAAGTGTCGGTAGGGTTGTAATGGCAGACACAGAAAATGATTTCGGATGAAAACAAATCCTCATTAAATGGTTTAGTGCTTGCCAAGTGTTTTAAGAAGAGGAGAGAAAGTTGGACATTAAGCATAGGTGGACAGCTTGGCCTCACCCCCTGGGAAAGGGGGACATGTTTACCTCCCTACACATTCGCTGAGTACTTTTCTTCACATTGCGCAAGAGAACTTTTGAACCCTTTCCAGTAAACAAATGGCTCATTATGACTCCGATGCTCTGCAAAGTTAAGCTACAGCTGCAGAGTTCTGCCGTCTGCCTGATTCTCTCAGTGCACTCCCTCCACACACACACACACACACACACACACACACACACACACACACATACACACACCCACACACACATTGTCCACCCCTCTGGCACACCAAGGCGGAGTGGTCACATTTGTTTGTTTGTGCTCCGCCTCGCTCAGTCTGTTATTCATTTTCTCTGTCCAGCGCTCATCTCCCCTTAGAGACTCACCAAAATGGCTCTGTTAGCATTCTGAGCCGACGCTCAAACACTCAGCACCAAACTCTGGCAGTCCTGACAAGCAAAAGAGAAAGAGAGAGCGAGGATGACAGGGAGAGGTGATGAAAAAGAGAGAGAGAGGGTGAGGCACAAAATGGAAAGAGAAGAGAGAAAAGCTGAAGTGTGAGACAGAGAGAGTTTACAGAGAGCAGACCTGTCTGTGTGGTGTGTTAATGTACTGGAGATGTCACAGACACTGACCTCCCAGTGGACAACTGTCCCCGCTGCCAGACACATTAAACATACACACACACACACACACACACACACACACTGGAATGCATGTGTACTCTGGCCCACACACGTGTTTGACTGACAACGCAGACAGCTGTGTGGAACAACCTGACATAATGTTGAATAACATTAACATTTACATACACACACAAAGAATCCTGTATAGCCTTACATTACAGATACTCTGCAGTTACATGTCTTTTCTGATACTTTCTACACCTTTCATTTTATTTAGATATTACTGTGTTTTAATCATCACATACAGGACAAGCTTGTCCAAATTTTCACAAAACAAAAATAAAATAAAACTGGAGACCATATTGCGATGGGATCACGGCAGTCGTCAACCCATGAAGCACTCAGTAGTTATTACTACATCAATGCACGAGTGCTCAGCTCCGATCATCCTCTAGTAACTACACATTTTTCTACAGTTTACTTTGCTGCCTGGGTTTTGACAGAGTTTTGGTATCTTCCCATTTATACACTATTTAGACTAAAACTTTAATAAATATTGACTTGTGACAAGTTCCAACACGTTATGCAGACAGTTTTGGATGCATAAAAAGAACCACAGTGGAGGGGGAGGGATCATGAAGACAAGAATTTTAACCTCTTCAACGTTCTCCTTCATATGCAGGATAATTAGGATATTTAGGATAATTTCTGGGAGTAATTCTTGTAATTAATTTGACATCACATTATTAAATTGAAGATCATTCTTCAATTAAATTAAACTGAATAAAATTAGTCTTGCAAGCTAAATGATAAATGTGTGTTGGACATTTTCACACTGCACTCAGAATAGGCAGGCAATGAGGTAATGCACTACATTCAAAACCAATCCAAGTTTGGAGACAGATCAGCTCTGTAGAGATATGTGGTGCAGAGCGGCGGTGGAGAATGGTGAGGTCTGCCTGACAAGCTTAAGGCTTAAGTCAGAGCATTTGAGGGTGGAGAACGTACAGTGTGAAAAATTCCCCCGAGGCCACACAAAATATGACACCTGTGACAACTGTGATGAATCAAAATGAAAAATTCAACAGAACAGACTTGTTTTGCAGTCATTGTCTAAACTTCTATACCTGAATACTTTGGGCAATGCTCTTTTTCCGCTTTCTTCTGTAGCTACGCTAACGTGAAGAAATGTAGCAATGAGGGCCGGGCCCTGATGCAGCTGGACTTCCAGCAGTTCCTCATGAAGCTGGAGAAGCTGACCGACCTGCGACCCATCCCCGATAAAGAGTTTGTCGAGACCTACATCAAGGCTTATTACCTGACGGAGAACGATATGGAGCAGTTTATCAAGAATCACAGGGTAAGATGAGGAAACCGGTTGGTGGAGGGAGGGCTGAAGCTTTCATGCTGAGAGCCTGTATCTGCTTTTTCTCACTGACCTTCTGTGTTTTTTGTACAGGAGTACTCCATGAAGCAGCTAGCCAACCTGGTGAACGTTTGCCTGGGCTCACATATAAACAAGAAGGCTCGTCAGAAACTTCTGGCAGCCATCGATGACATTGACAGACCCAAGAGATAGACTGATGCACGGTCCAGACCCCTAAACGTATCAACCGACCCCCAGAGATTGACACTCCAATAGAGGAACTCCCACCGTGGAGCTCAGTGTCGAATGTCTTCATTTTTTGTCTAGAACAATGTTGAGGTGTGTTCAACGAGCTGTCCAGTCCATACGACAGTGGAGCTACTGTAAACAGCAATTTGAAGCTCAAATGTTAGCCAGATGCTAAGTACATGTTAATCTGCAGTCATTATACGGTTAAAAACACAAACTGCCTCTTGTTGAATGCACCTCATGACACAATGGTGGACATAAATATTAAAACTCAGTGTCACACTCAAGCATGCTGCAGTTACTCTGTGCATAGAGCTACCATAACACATGCTATCACCCACTTCATTTAACAAACATGCTGCTTCTGAAGTTTTTCTGCAGATTGTCTGCAACCGTAGATCACTTCAGTGTGACCATGACGAGCAGATCTTGAGTTTGTTTTCCAGATAAACTTCTACAAATACGGAGTCTACTAATTGTATAAATGTGGCGTGACCGTGCGGCTGTTCATAGACTTCCATCTGTTTTCACCAAAATGTGCTCAAGCTCTGACACAACTCCTACCTTGAGATTAAAGAAAACAACAAGTGGATATTTATGAGTTGCTAAATTTGATAGTCGCATAATGTCGTTAAGCTTTGTGGTAAATATGCCCATGAGAACATTTGAATGGTTATACCCCTCTGCTGTCTGAATGTGTTTCCTGTGGGAGAAGCAGTACAGTAAATCTGGTTTATTGGTCACTTTAATCTTTCACTATGAAATATTCCAGCCCATGCTTTTGCTGTATATTAGTTCACTTCAGGGTGTTTGTTGTGCCTGACTGGATGCTCCTTTTCTTTGTTTGTTTTGTCCATGAATTACATAAATCTAATATAATGATGATTCTGAAAATAATATAAATTGCTGTAGTTAGAGTTAACATAGTTAGATTATATCCGCACCAGCTGCATTTGTTTGTTTGCCATCTGTCAAATCTGAGGAGGAAATGATTTTATTGTCGTGAGGTGAGTTTTTGAAAGTCTTTGGACTTCAGTCTCTGGCATTCTTGCTGTTCAGTGAAATTTTGTTATTTTTTATCCATTTTGTTGCTTTGCGCGATCAGGCATTGATAATGTAATTTCTCATGACTACCCAAGTTTTCCTCCCTCATATATTAGTTTAACCTGACCGCACCTGCTGGGGGGGGGTAAAAAAAAATGAAGTAACAGTTTTTGGTACAGCTTCTTATACATTTTGTGTGCAACTATTCCAAGAAAAATACTGTAAATGTGAATGTTTTGAACAATGTCTGTATTTATTTCTTGCTTTGTGTCTTGTTTGGGTTTTTATATGATAACTGCTGCAAGCGTGCTGTCATTTATCACCTCTCAGTATCTTATAACTTATCAGCTGAAGCAAATACAAAATATTTAAACATTGTCAAAATTACATTAAGGGTCAAGTGCACTATAGTGGAAATCAGTAATCAGTGTTAGAATTGTAGGTTGAACCAAGATGATTCTAACATAATAAACACACTAACAATGCGCTTGTGTTGTTTGTTATTCTCACACACTTTATCCTTGTGGTGTCATGACTAAACTGCGTGATCCGTAAATTCTGTCACACCTTTAAAAGCCCTGTGCTGCTGCAGGATTAGCAGAGTCTGTCATTTGCCGTTCACCAGAATATATGAGTGTTACCTTTCAGCAGCGCCACGATCCATCCTAATGATGCTTTCCTCAGCCAGGAGCAGGACGCTGTCAGACTAATTAATGTGGCTTCCTGTGTGGTTACAAGCCCTCAGCCTTCCTGTTTAGGAAGAGCCCACTGATCAGGTTCAACAGACACAAATGTGAAGGACTGATTATAACTTTGATGACTCACTGTTTTTATTAAAAAATTAAGTATCAGTGGGTTTGATATGATAGACAAGAGTGGTCTGATTCTAATTAAACTCCACTTTCTAATATTTAAGCCCTCAAGCAGTATTCAAGCTTGCAACCCCTTGTGCACCGCCTTTTCTCACAGTTCTCCTCACCCTCAAACACTCCTGATTCGTGACCCTCCCGACACCAGCGTTCCTACCGTGGACACGTTCGGGTGCCCAGCTGGATCGTACCACTCCTGTCTCCTGTGATGCCATGCCCAGTTACCCGTTCAGATAAAAGACCAGGCCTGCGCTCAGATTTCATCAGCCAAGTCCATAGAAATCACTATCAATGACCTCCATGCCCTCTGTTCCCTCACTACACAACCTTCATTCATGTCTCTTCATAAATATTTAACCGAGAACAATTACTGGCAGGGACTATTAATACTGTGTGCTTTGCGTGATGATTGATAAGACAACTTGACTGTGGGAGGGAGGGGTGGTAAGGGGGGTCTTTGAAATCTCTTTGAAAGCTTGAGCTTTGAAACTGATTAAATATCCCCTGAACTCACTAATGTACAATTGGACCAATAATCACGGTTGATTGGACTTTTTTTTTTCTTCTAAAAATGACTTCCTGAAGGAGTAATTCATTTTTCTGTCTGTTCCACAGAGAGTGCAGCCACTCTCCATCCCTGATCTCTGCACAGTAGTTTCTCAGATACTGATTAGACTTTTTATCGGGCTGAAAGTGGGAGGTATGCTGGGAATTTGCAAAATATATAAAAAAAAAAAAAATGAATGCTGTAATTTGTCCTGACATATCAGGTACAACAAAACTATCAAAGGAGGTCAAGATTGTTTATTATAAACTAGAGCAACCCTGTCTCCTAGAAATAACATTTATACAACTAAACTGTTTTCCCACTTATGTTGTAGTGGGCATGTAATCTGACTGTGGACTGTGGAATCTTTCTGTATTAAACCAGACAACAATCTTTCCCTAACCTTAACCAAGTGCATATAGTGGCAATGTATACTGCAAATTGATGTTGTACTTGTATATTCTGGCAGAAATCAAATATGCTGTCTGCCATCATTGTATTGATGTGATCAGTATGAACACATTTGCAACTTGCCAAATACATAAATTAACAACATATGCTCAGTAAGTTAATAGAAAATTTTAATTTTTGAAATCACAATTTTGTATATGTAGCCTACTGCAAGATTGGTAACTGGTAAGTGCTAGTTAAATGGTAATGTTTAACTCTTCAACTGTATGTAGTGAGCTTTTCAATCTGTATCAATTATTCACCTTTGTCTAATTTTAAAAAACAATAAAAGATACAAACCATTTTAACTGGATCGACACCAAAATTTAATGAGTTTCTCCCTGACCCATGTTCCATCCCTCCAAGTTTGGTGCAAATCAGTTCAATACTCTCTGTGTAATCCGGCTGACAAACAAACAAACAGACACAGGTGAAAACATAACCTCCTTGGCAGAGGTAATAAACAGGAGAAAAAATTAGACGAAGTCTTAGAAGAGCCAACTGGGAGGAAAAGGCTGAATAACTTGTCCTCCCCTTCAGGTCATCTGTCACTTGCGTGACAGACAGGAGAGAAAAGATAGGGGGTTCATCTCGAGAGATATAGGGGTAGAAAACACATTTGGGGTGTCAGGTGAACTGGAACCCACATACACACATGGAGACCTTTTAATCTCAGTGTCTCACTCTGTAAGAGCAGAAAATCGAAAACTGTAACCAGGGAGCTGTGCAAGGTTTAGACAAACCCATTCGCTCCCTCATAATGACAGCCAAGTGTATTCACAGAGCTTTTCATTAAAGCGGTCTTATTGATTTAGCCCTATCGCCAAACAAACCTGCGAGGGAATGGGAATGTGTGTCTCCCGAAACAAATAGCAGACATGTCTATTACTGCATAGAGAGAGGAGTTAAGAAATGCTCATGGCATGTGGTTCAAAATGACGTCTACTGCACTGTGCAAATTTGACATGCTAGCAAAATTGTTCAGCTTGCTATAGAAGTCAAGTAATAACTGAAGCCAACAATATAAAATTACATTGGGGTTGCTGCAAATAGGGGTTTAGCGTTTGGAAGTAGTTTAGATACCTTGCAGCTTGCATGAAAGGGATAATTTATATGTCTGAGAAACCTCTCAGAAATTCAATAAACATTGCTGTTTTGCAGTATTTAATGAACATAATGCCAAAGCTTTCTCTTCTTATTGAATGGCATTATGGATTGAAGCGGCTAATTGGATGTCAGACTCCGCTGCATAAACTTTCACGACAGCCCTCTGAGAATCTTGTTCCACCAGTCGCTGCTAATTTGTTGCTTGACTAGCTGTGCTTGGGCGGCAACAAATGTTATGTATGGTCGTAAACAAGAGCAGGGAAGGAAAACCTCTCAAGAAACATTAGAACAGAATGAGGTAGGGGGTGTTCCCCTGCAAAAAAAGCTATCTATTCAAAGTTCAGTTTGAAGTGACATTGGTTTCAATTGAAGTATCAGTAAATGGGGAAGTTTAATAGGAGGGCCTGATATTTCAGGGTAGAACAGTATAGTGAGAAAAAAAAAACAAAGAAATGAGAACTCATCCCTTTAAAACAGGAGAGTAATTGACTTTGTGTTTTGTGTGAGGGTATTTCCCAAAGGAATAAGATGTACCGTACAATATCCCAATATACCTCTACCCACAAATGTGATGAATCAAGCCTTTTATTCCAGTTCCCATCATGTAATAATATACATCTTTTCAACAGCCCTTTCTAATGTTCTTGGGAATACCCTCAAACAAAGCACAAAGTCAGTTCTCTTGCCATTGAGAATTACCACTTTCCACTCGGTTTAAAAAAATGGATGGCGTATCTAAGACAACTTTTTTTAAAGAGGTTTATTTTACCACAGAAGAGCCCATTTGGTTTCTTTTTCTTTGGATAAATGTGTTTAGGATCCTCCTCTTTTGCGCTAGAGTGCTAGAGGACAGAATATATATGATGTTATTGCAGTGTAAACTGTACTTGCACCTGTATTTAGCAGAAAATATATTCATCTTATCAAAAGTCTTTCATTTTGTAATTTTAAAACATAAAACATAAATTGACACAAACAACAGCAAAGTCTACAGAGTCTATAGCCATGCTAGAGACTGGTACTGTGGTACTTGTAGCTAACATGCTCACAATGACGATGCTAATATGCTGATGTTTAGCAGGTAAGGACCGGAAGTGAAGGAACTAGCTGTTTTAGAATTTATCCTGAGGGGACCATAATGCCTGAGCCAAATTACATGGCACTCTCTCCATTTGTTGTTGAGACATTTCACTCAAAACCAAAGGAAAAGTCAAGAGATTGGTAAAGTCATCAGGATTCACTGGGGAAAATGAGCGTCTGAACAACATTCTGTGACTATTGATGCAACAGTTGTTGAGATGTTTCAGTCTGGGCCAAAGGACAGACAGACGGACAGACGGAAAGACAAATAGACAGATAGACGGACAAATGTAGCCAACCTGAGCCATGCTACTGGTGTGGCTGCAAACTGCAGGTGTACACCCACACAAGCATCCAAACTGCAGGAACTACTACTTTCTTTGCCTGTAGGTCCAAAGCTGATGGCACTGCAGCTCTTAGTAGTTGTATAATGGTTTCATTTGCTTTGCACCAGTGACACTGTGTGTCCTTGTTATTACTCCTTATTCATGTATTTGTTTAATGGGCTTTGTTTCAGACACCGCAAACATCAGTGCCCCAAGGCCACTTTGCAAAACAGAATATTCATTGGATTTCAATATTTTTGCATAGACATGATTTTACATTCCTGATAACAAATGACTCACATCTACTCTGCCTAATAAGTGAGCCATGAATTAGGGCCATAGACATACAGTTGAAGAGTGTGAATCACACTAATCGGCAGAATATTTATACTGATAAACAAACAAAATGATCACAAAAGATCCCACGTAATTTCACGGGTCTCTGCCTCTCATGCAAACAGAGTGATGACTTTTCAGTAGCGATACAGATAACAGATGAGAGGGTCTCTGTATTTCATCAGCTACAGTATCTCACTAATTGTGTTTGCAGTTTATTCATGGCCTCACATAATGCAAATAATTCTAATGAGAGTGTGTGAACTATATACAATAAAGTGTTGACTTGGAGTATAAAAAAGGCTACTATTTTTGCACTTCATCTTTTTCCAACCATTGACCAGTGTCCCCAGATTACTTTATATGGCTGTATTTTGAGAATTTAATATACAATATTAAAGTTTAACGATATTAACAATCTGCAGGTTTGACTGTATTTATCATAATGCAGACAAACAATCTGCTGTGGGAGATTCAAAAACTTGTTTGACCTAAGGAATAAAACAGCTGTACTCAACATTACTGTATGTTTAAATTAGATTTAAATGACCACCGTGCCTGTTGATCCCAAGCTCAGAAGTCAAGGACACATCAAGAATTTTGATCGACATATTGGAATCACATTTTTGCCCCTCAGATAACACTAATACTGACAGAATGCAGCACAACATAAAGTCACTTAAGGTCACTGATGTAGTCAGATTTTGTGTCTTTTTTTAGAAGCAACATGATGTGAATGGCTGAAATATGGGGGCAAAGAACACCTGGAA